AGACTTGTGCACCGGAAAGTTTTTGAGGTCACTGTGCTTTAGATCATGAAAACCTTTTAAAATATTCATTGAGGCTTCAGGCCTCCAGAATCAATACGCACTAATTTCAGGGGGTGGTAGAATTAAAATATTCATTGAGGCTTTAGGCCTTTAGAATCAATACACACCAACTTCAGGAGGTGGTAGAAGCTCTTTTGCTAGAATTTTCGTGCTGATAACGTGTTATAAAATTAATGCGAGACTACTAAAATGAAACTAAGCATAAGAACAAAAAGGAGAGACAAGAGAGTAGAGAGAGATAAGAGACTTGTATTCAAATGTGTTTTGAAGCATGAATGAATTCCCTATTTATACAAGAAGTAGGGAATCAAATTATGAGAAATGAATCACGTGTCATTAATGCTAAATATTACAGAATCATATCTCCGCGATTGTGAATAAAATAATACATATTAATGTGAACATTGAATCAAACCAGATTTTTCCATAACAATTTAAAGGTTTATTCTTCTTTATTAGTATGATTGAATTCATTTTAATTTATTGTATTAAGTATAAACATGACAACTCCATTCAAACAATACTGGTAAACGGAATACAATTACGATACCATTATTCCCAATGACATTTAAATGAATACATTTATATAAAAGAAAATAAAAACCATAAGTAGTAGAAATTATACTAACTAACAAAAAGTTAATAACTAAAAGAAATTAATAGCTAACAACTAGCAGAAATTATCATAACCAACAAAAATTGACTAGTTGATGAACTAAAAAACTTAAAATTATAAAATTTAACAAAATCTCCCCACCCCCAAAAAAAAAAACGTTGAACAAGTTCTAGGCGAGACTACTTTAGGCCAGAACTAGATCGGCCAGTCATTTTCGGCCGAAGATAGTCTCGGTCCAGATGGAAATAGCCCTTCACCGGCAAAAGAACACCTAAATCGGAAAAAATTTAGGACTCAACTGTCTTGGCCGATGTGAAAACTATATGAGCCGAAGAATTTTTTGGTCTGCTAATTTTGATTCTAATAATTTCCACCACAGTGGTGTATTTTGGTGGGATATATGCCATAAGGTAAAAATGTTTGAAGGAATTTCAACTCGTGTGTGTCAACTATGTAGGTCACTATAAATTTAATAAAAACAAAATCCATCTATGCATAAACTATCGATTAAGTTGGAATATAACTTTGTCAAGTTTTTTTATTCACGAAATATGATAATTTAATATTTTAATATTTTAGTCTTTAATATCCTTCATTGTATTCAAAAAAATCGGCCTTTTACAATAAAAAAAATCGATGAAAATGGGAAACCATTAAAAAGATTAAAATAAATATAGAGAATTCCAAGAATTGAGGGAAACAAGTGTAAGAGAGTGAGTGAGAAGTTTGAGAAGGAGGTGGCCGCACATGGGAAATGAGGTAAATTGAAACAGAAAGTGTAAGAAGAAGTAAGTATAGATGTCAATTTAGAATTTACCAACCGCCCTCAGTGGAAGCCCACGTAATAACAAAAGAAAGAGCCAAATCGGTAGCAATAAAATTTTTACAAATCGGTAGAAAAAGATGTGTCTTGGGAATTTTGCTGAAAATGGTGCAACCTCGTGAATGGCAGTAAAATCCCTTTTTTGTGCAGGATTCCACCTCATTCCGCAAAACGTTTTATTAATAAAAAGATTTTGTCCAAAGATTTTATGGATAAGTGATCTTTCTAGCATCCTCTCTGACCATATTATGTATAGGCAATGATCAATGTGGAGGACAACAACTACATAGTTTTTAATTGTTACTCCTTTCATTCCAAAATATATATCGCTGAAAGAGTTTCACAAAATTTAAGGAAACAATAATTATTTGGTTAAAATACTAAATTATTCTTATTTATTCTCAATACAATTCTATTCTCAATATCACTTAACTCTAATACACTTCTACTTTAAATACAATTACAATTTCCTGTGTATGGACAATATTGGAAGAAATTGACAAAATATACCTAGATATGCGAAAACGACATCTATTTCAAAAAGAATTGGTTTTCCTCCAACGACATATATTTTGAAATGGAGAGAGTTGATCGATTTGAATACTGATGACAAACTGACATAGTTAAAAAGTTTATACTCTCTCTTTCAAAAAGGATAAAAAAAAAAAATAAATTCACATTTAGTTTAGAGAAAAAAGGAATAACATAGTGCAAAATGACATTTATTAAAGTGTTCTACCGGGAGATTTTTTTCTTTTCTTTTTGGTTAAATGACGAACCTAATTGCTAGAGATTATAGCATTGTGTACATAAGAAAATGCCAATTTAACTTGTGTTCTAACTACTGTCATATACTCCCTCCATTCACAAATAAATGTCGTTGGAGGAAAAAATAAATATTCCAAAATAAATATCGTTTTGACAAATCGAGACATGTTTTGTCAATTTTTTCCAATACTATCCTTACATTGGAAATTGTAATAATGTTTAATGTAGAATTGGGTTAGAACTAAAGGTTATTGAGACTACAATTGTATTACTACCTCCATTTTTTTTTATCTGTCATTTTAGGGTTTGCACAACTATTAAGAAAATAATGATTAGAAATTTAATTTATAAGGGTATTACTCCCTTCATTCCAAAATAAGTGTCGTTTTAGCAAAATGGAAAAATTCTAAAATAAGTGTCGTTTTCGGATTCCAATGCATTTTTTGTCAAGAATTTCCAAACACACCCTCAAAAGAAATAATATTATTGGTGAAAATTTATTTTAATGGAGTTAGTTGAGGATATTCTAGTAATTTAGCTACCATATTTAATATTTTCTAAAACAATGTGCAAACTCTAAAATGATACTTATTTTGGAACGGAGGGAGTATCTTTCTTGACCCTAATTAAAAGTATTGAAACTCTAAAAAATTTGAAATTGAAATTAAAGAGTAGGTAGTTGTCACTAAAATATGTTATTAAAAGTAGAGAGAGATAAGGATAAAATTGAAAAAGTAGTATTTAATATTGCATTGGAAATGAAGTGCGACAGATAAAAAAAAATACTTTGGATTCATCCTAAAACGACAGATAAAAAAAACGGAGGTAGTAATAATAAATGAGGGTATTATAATATTTTAACAAGATAATTATTGTCTCCTTAAATTTTGTGAAATCTCTCCAGCAACTTCTATTTGTGAATGGAGGGAGTAATTTACAACAAAATTTACCTCTCTACAAATCCCTTTTACCCTATTAAAGCAGAATACAGGATGTTAATGTGGCAAATTCTTATTAAAACTTTTTGGCTCCAAATGTACCATATTGCATTGACCATTCTGGCACGTGTCATCCCCTTTTTGAAAGAAAAAAAAAAATCTTTTCCCGAGAAATAAAGCTACTTTACAAAAATAACTACACAATTTTAACTCCTAACATTTATCATTTATCAATCAAATTAAAATAGCATTTAAATTTGTCCATAAACTTATCCCCTTTATTACTCCACATTCTTTTGTATGATTTCTACATCGTTGTACTTTTTAATATTTTTTTTGCTTTGGCAGATGATTTTTTATTTTTATTTTTATTTTTGAATAAAAAAAGGAAAAAAAAATAAATATGTACCTATTTTATTTTTTCCAAATCAAGAATTTATTTATCTATTAACACAAATTTAAAGTAGAGGGGCGCCCGGGCATCTGCCTGGGCCAAGCATCTAGTATACTTTAAAACTGATGTCCAAAATTTACTTCGAACCTCCCCAATGTCATATACTACTTCCTCCGTTCCAAAATAAATGTCGTTTTAGTAAAATGGAGAAATTTCAAAAAAAGTGGCATTGTCACATTTCAATGGACTTTTTGCCTAAAGTTTTCAAAATTACCCTTAAAAGAATTAATACTATTAGTGGATATTTTTTTAATGGGGTTGGTTGAAGATATTCAAATAATTTTATTATCCTAAAGAGTTTTTTAAATTATGTGCAACGTGTAAAATGATACTTATTTTGAAATGGAGGGAGTACAAGCTATGAAAACTCCTCCTTTTCTTGCACCATATTCAAAATACATTTGCTATTAAATTGGTTTATAATTTTACGATCACCGATCTCCCGAAACTGGATTAAAATCCTCAAAATAAACCTCAAAGTTCTGTTCAGACAATGATGCAAAAATCAACAGTCATGATAGGAGTCGCAATCTGAATGGTTTTGGCGCTATTATTATTAATAAAGATTTATGAATGGGAGTAGCTAGTAGTATATGCTTTCTTATCGCCTTCTAAATCTTAGAATCCTGTTATTAAAGATATGGACCTAGAATCTTATATGACTACAATTCGCCGGCCTTGTTATGGCTTTATATTGGTACATATTAGTATTATAAGTATTATATTTTAATGAATTTGGTCGTGAAAACACTCAACATTGTCATTGATTACCTAAAAGAGAAATAAGGTGTGTAGGGTTGGTTGTCCTACAATTAGAAGACGGGCGTAGGAAGCTGCCTCTGAACAACCATCATCGCTTATCCATTTGCATCTACTACATACTTAAGTAATTAAACATTATAATATATGTATATATTCGCACTTATCTAATTCTGTACTTTTGTGGTATATTATTCCTATTTTGCAGATTCCAATGTTTTTTTTAAAAGAAAAATAATTAATGGAGTACACACGAACAACTCATCGAGTTTTCGTGAAGCATTTCATTCCTTATTATCATTATTAAAATTCTTCCGATATCAACAAAGAACTGTCCATGCGGTTACTACACTTACTAGTTAATAAATAGATTGGATGATTTTAACATATAATTCTAAAAAATTTAATTTTGTGATCGATTACCTGACATCTTTGACTACCGATAGTTTTCACAACTTGCAACAGTTATAATATTTTCAATAGACCTTAAATATGAGGAAGATGTATCAAAAAAAATTCGGAATAACAAGTGACACCGTCAATATGCAAATAAATTAAAAAGTACATATATTTCAAAATAGTTTTGGAGACATTTATCCCGTGACAAATATGCCATCAGCCATCAGGCACATTTCTTGAATTTCAAGTGAAAAATTGCGCAAGAAATTATTAAAATAAATGTCGCCACCATTACCTCATAATGTGACATTTTTCTTTTAAACCTCATGGAATAATGGGTCCTTTGATTAGTGTGTTTATTTGTTTCCTAGCCATGAGAGTAGAAATTGGTCATCAGCAGTGGACTGACTCTCCAGAGAAAATCATCTGTGCGGAAGCTCGGCCGGACTAGACTCTCCTAAAGGCTCTTTTCCGGCTCGCCGCAACAGCGATAAAAACTGTTCCGCAAGTATACATCTATCAGATGCCTAATTAAAGGGACTAAAGCTATTCAAAGATGTTCCCTCGGGAATATGCTGAGGCATTAAAGAAGTTATTTTCCATGTCAGGAAGAAACTAAAAGAAAGAAAAAGTTAGCTCTCCAGGAGTCTATACACTGACTATTAAAACAAAAGAAACATGTTCCTTCCTGGGTTCATATTCACAGGTGGTACCTGATGGAACTTCCATTCTGAACATCACTGTACAGAATATATCCTCTCCAAACTAGGCTCAGGACAAGCTTGAGCATTCTGGACCACTTCTCTGATGATCCCCGCTATATATTCTAACTTTCTTAACTTGTATTGTGCGTTTTGTAGGTCAAAATTTTGCCGCACCGAATTCTACAGAAATTTTGCATGACAAACTGCCTAGCAATGGGCAAAATGTCCAGTTAATTACTCTAAATCTGGACACTGCCTGTTTTCGGAACAGACAGGCAATCTCAACTCTGGAACGTATATAGCATTGTAGCCAAAATTAACCCCTACCAAACCTAATTCCTTTTCGTCATCATCACTGTCGACCTCTTCTGGAGTCACCCGATTTTGGTAACTTCTGCGCCGAATAACAAAAGCATTGTAATAGTAGCTGACCAACTTTTCCCTCGTTTTTGAAGGGAAAAGTCTCAAGGCATTGATCCAAAATCTGTTCGAGCTCTGACTGCTGAACTTTATCATGTCCTTGAATCTTGTTTCCTCTTCCATTGTCCAAGAAAGGGATACTTCCTCCCCCATTCGGTCAAACCTCCACTTGTAAAATGCTGATCCAAGTTCACGCTTCAGTTTTAGCCTCTTTTCTGCAATGTGAAAACGAACACATTCTGAATGACCTGGAAATGAACATTCGCAATCATTTGTTCTTCCCTTTTCAATGGGATCAAACTTAATGACAGTTTCATCTTTTGCATCTTCAGGAGGCCACACTCGAATCCCCAGCCACTTAGCATCACTTTCGTAAACATCACCAGTCCATTCTGGAACTTCAGCTTGAAAGAGAGGCCCAACAGACACCTCCTTTTCAGGCGGTTCATCCAGGATGCCATTGCTAACTTTGTCTTCCGAGTTTACCTCAACACTCAAGAGAGGTAAATCCTTAGGTGTGGATCCTCCATCCGCCTTTTGATGAATGACAACTGTACTTTGAGGTGTTGTATTGCAACAGGAACATGAGGGAGACTTAATCAGAGGCACCCTTTGACTGAATCGTGGCTTTTCAACAGATTGCTGACTAAAGACACCTTCGTACATGGAAGGATGCATCTTCACCTTTTTCTGCGAGCATATTTGCAACACAATGTAGTAAACATGTAAATAGAAGATGGGTAATGTGATTTAACTTGAATCCAATGAAACGATGCATGATTTGGCATGGCACCATTCTAAGGAACTTCCAAGTAGACTCGCATGATCTTTTACTTTTGCTCACTGATATCTTCTTCTAGAAGATTCAATCCTTCATAAGCTAACACTAACTTCACACAATATACTTTCCGATTTGAGTTTATTAGAAGATAATGAGATATGGCATATCGTTACAAAATCGATTCTGCAATATGTATCCTAATACTTTTACATAAGAAAAACCTTAAAACATAGACAACAGCAACAAGAGCAAACTAAGGTTTATAATTCATGGGGATAGAGCATAAAGGTATATATGCATGCATTGATTTAAGAAGAAAACAGGCTATCACAGCTTAAAACTTTCTCCTTCAGTGGAAAGATAGCTTGAACATTGTTATTGTTAAGGATTTGCAGCTAGAATTCAGAATGTGGATACTATGGCATTTTACAGAAAAAAACAATAGAACCATTTCTGATTTAAGCTACTCGTTATAACAAAGTCAACAGATTGAATATTCTGTAAGATAATTTTACAAATTCAGCATATAAATCTTCTCTCTTTATCATACACTGTTAACATTTAGAATCAGATATGATGCAATGCTTTTCAGGTAACAAAATAGAATGCGAGAAGCCACATACAGCTGGTGTTTGGGATAAGCAACTATACCTATATTACATAGAAAAATGAAATGAAAAGTAAAGGGAATTCCCATGTACCTGCGTGAGAGATGACACTACTGGCGAACTAACATGCCTCCTTGTCAACAGTGCTTCTCGGGCCAGCAAAGCCTGAAACCACCACTCCTCATTCCCATGATCTTTCCACTTTGAGTAATCAGGAATTCTCCCAATTGCAATATCATCAGTGTGTTTAGCCACATTTTTTATCCAACTAAGCATTCCAGTCAAAGAAGAAGATTCTCGCTTCCTCTTGTTAGAATCAGTTAATTTGTCAACAGTGCTGTTGGAAGATAGTATGGTATCACCAAGTTGTGGAAAGAACTCCTCTTCATCGAATTCAGCAAGGTCACATGCAGTCTCATGTGCATTACTGTCAATTGCTTCATCAATGATTTTCTTGGTTGATTGAGTGACATCATTCCCATTTTGGGAACAGTCTTTGCAGTCATCGTCACTAGTTTTCCCTTCAGAAAACCCATGAAATCCATTATTAGCTTTTTTATTGATTTTCTTGGCTGATAGTACCAAGTTATCATCACTGCCTATGTGGTCTTCTTCATCACCGTTGTCATATCGTATTTCCAGGTTGGGTGAACAAGGCGCTGATCTCTTTCTAGAATGAGTTCCATTTTCACATTTAACAAATTCCGACACGGCCTTGACTCCTACTTTTTCTTTATTCGGCCTTTCATTGCCAAAATCCACAAACTCTTTCATTAAATGTTGTACCAAATCCTCCAAATCTTTGACAATTCTATCTCCTTCATCCAAAAAATTACCATTCCTTAATTCCTGCCACAACCAGTTATCCAAGTCATATAGATACTTGTAGTAAATCAACTTTACTGATGCCACAGCCCCTAACGCGAGCCCACACTCCCCAGCTACAAAGTCCCACAAATTTTTTCTCGATGTGGAATCATAACCACCTAATTTCCTGACTACCCAGAAGAGCTTAAAAAAATCAACAGGCACCCCATCAGAAGAAAAAGCAGGTAAAGGCTTTATGCATCTTCTTCCCCTGAGAAATTTGACAAGAACCTCCTTAAACAAGCTCCTGAGCCTACTCTTGCATTCATCAAAACCACATTCTACTAAACTTAAATCATGATCAAACACAGACCCTTTTCTCCCAAGGGAATCTTCTAAATTCTTCACCTCACTCAAAGATGACCCATTCTCAAATTCAGCCATCCTTCCGTTAACATCAAATTGTTCAACCATCCTTCCGTTAACATCAAATTGTCTTCCTACTTTTACAACATACAGATACAATAATGATATCTTTTGGGTTCTCTTTTTCTCCCCTAGAATCTTAAGCAACAGCAAATACCGCAAAAAAAGAAGGAAAAAAAAAAGAGAGTCATCATTAAACCCAAATGAATTAAAGTTCACATCTTTAATACAGAAATGAAAAACCCAAAAAAAAAAAAAAAGAGGACAAATTGTTTGGCTTTGTTTTATGAGTTGAATATATTTACCTCAAAAGCCTATATTCAGAAGAGCCCACAGAAAATTTTCCCTTCACAAGAACTGGAGAAGACTGGGAGTTTGGACTGTGAATTTGGACTGGAGGAACCCAAAAGAAATTCATTATAAATACAAGTATACGCTGTTATTCGTAGAACTCAAATGAAGAAATTGGGGAGCTGGAAGAATTAAAGAGATTGAAAGTTTATTTGTTTTTTTTTTCGTAAGTGGGGAGCTGCATAGGATGAATAGGAGAGAAAGAAAGAATTGGATCTTCGACAGCTAAGACTTAATAGGTTTTCGGTAACCCCTCAATGAACCTTAAAAATCAACGAAACTTGGCATAAGATAAAGAGGACATTGAACTATTGATACTTTACTTTATAAAGTGTTTGCATAATATACGTTTACAATTAATAGGTTATTAGAGATCAACACGAGATAATCGAGTCTATGTATTGTATGTCTTCTGGAGTTTTTGTGATTGGTGTTTCGTCGAACAAGTTTAAACGATCTACAAAATTGGTTAATCCATAGTCGATGAGATCACGATTTAGTCGAAGTATTTTATATTCTTATAACATTTTAATTGAAATAATTTTAGGTTGTGTCTCTAACTAATAATAATAATATTTGGCCTAAAATTATACTAGTATTTATGATAAAATACAACCTAAAAAACAAACATATTAAATTGGATATGATTTTGGATAAAAAAAAGTTTCTGCCAGATAAGAGAATACAAATTAAAAAGAAAAGAAAATAGAATTAAAACATGATACAACATAGTATTTGCCTTTGGATGCAATTATAGAATCCCAATAAGATACTCAATAGAGTAAGTAATTATAACCGTTTATTACATTTATAGATAGTGCAAAGATCTTTTATAAAAATGGGTTAACACCAATCACAACATAATAACATGTATAATATCTCTTATTTATTGAGATTCTCTCTTAAATGTCAAAAAGTTAATTGAGATTGTTAAATTCAATAATAAACGTGACATGATTTGGAATGATGTCATGAGATATTTACATCAAATTTTTTTGTAAAAGTGTTCAACCTCGAGAGAGATTTTCCAAAATAAAAACCTATTTTATATATATATATATATATTTGTTAATTTATAAGTAAACTTGGTCAGTTTAATTGGCATTCTTCTTTCAAAGGGACTGATACCCATGCACGGAATGAACGCTTTTCACCCATCAATTAATTTTTTATTAAAGAAGCAAGTTACATATTTCTTATAGTGTGACAATATGAGATATCAACATATGATTTGGCTTGCTCTCTTCTCCCTACTACACAATTTGAAAGATTTCCTCTCATTAGGGTCTAGCATAATCTTTCAGTTTGGTTTTTCGTTTTGTTAAAACATCAAATTTGGTTAGCTTGATTCATCAAATTTGTGGAGATTTAATTTTGTGGATCATTCTCCATTTTTTTTTATTGTTCCCAATCTTTGCTTATCCAATTTTACTTAAAAATTATTAAGGTAGGCCAGAAATAAGGAATTAAACTTTTTTTTAGTATATTACACACTCGGTGTTCGAAGGCACGGATGCGAAGACACGGATGCCAATACTAACTTAATTAATCTTTTTATTCTTAAGAAACTAAAAAATAAGTACACGACTAACTTTATTTTTTCTTCTTCTTTTCTAAAACACACTAAAATTCATATCCCAAGTTTTGACTGCTATAATATTCATTATTATTTCTATTATAATAAAGCTAAGAATACTTTCAATTTTCAACTTGGGGGTTCAATAAAAAATGTATATAATTAAGAAAAATATATATTATATAAATATTAAATAACCAGTAAAGAACAAAAGAGGAAGATAAAAAGTTGTAATTAAAGTCTTTGTTAAATAATATTACCAAAAGTTTAATTGGGGGGCAAATGATGATTTATCGATTATAACATATGAAGTGGGTTAGATTTGTTTTCATTGGCCCTATAATATTTTTAGTTTAGTTTATCCTTTTTTCTATGAATTAGCTTTACCAAGGTGAATAAATTTTATAACTTGCATGTTAATTGTAAATTTTATATATTGTAAAATTGTCGAATTAACTTTTTTTGCTTTTGTAATTTTTACCCCGTGACCGAATCTCCCAAAAAGATGGAGATTAAATTCTTCCTGAGGAAAAAAAAAAACGGCTAATATACATTTTGTAGTGGTTTATAAGGAGAGTTTTTTTAGTGGGTTAAATTTAGTTTTATATAAATTTTACAATTTTACATTAAAAAATTACCATTAAATGATGGAGTGATATAATTGCGACATGTGGACTTGGATATCTAATTTTACGCCATGTGGATTAGCCTATCTAATCTTACACCATGTGTCCGATTGAAAACTCTCATTTTAATATATAACTAGTGTTTATCTCACACGTTGTGTAGGTGGTTCAAGATATATATGAGTTTAATGATTTAATGATTATATGACATTTCTTATGAAGTGATATATGCAAAAAAAAAAAAAATATATTAATAATATCCATTACAATTGTGTATACCAATACGTTTTGTTATTTTAAATACATTTGAAATAATTTTCAATCTTTGAAATCATCCAATATAACTTAATGTTCATCTTTTTTCGTTATATTCATTTATGGCTCGTATCTTGTTAAAGTATTTTTTTAATTTATTATAATGATGTCTCTGAATATTTTTACCTGTATCATATTTTCTAAACTCTTTCTCAAACAAAAAGTTTTTTTTATTATATCTTTCCGTAATTAAACTTATCTTTATTTTCTATCTCTCCAGATACTTTTTTTTTTTTATCTCTCATATACTTTTTGCAACCTTTCTTTAGAACTTTATTCCGGTATTTTTCCTATAACATATTGTTTACTTCATTTCTTTTTCGTTGTATAGTCTTCACCTTTCTTTTTTTTTTAAAAAAAATTTTTTGATGGCCTCTTTTTAAAGATTCATTTCTTAAAAAGTTTATAATAATTTTTTTATTTTTCACTATTATCTCTTTTTTTTCATATTTTCTTATTCTCTACATAATTTTTTCCTCCACATAATTACTTTTAATTTTTAAATATGCTTTACTGCTTATCTCTCACAAAAATTTTTATTCTTTTTGTCATTTAGGAAAACTTTCTCCCTACTGATCTCTATATTTTTTTTTATCATTATAACGTTAACTTTTTCTACCATTATATATGAAAAAATATGATGAATTATCTAATTGAACTTTTTTATATTTTGTTGTAGATTATTAATCTTCATAAAGGTTAGAGGATTCCTCATCAAAAATCGCATGCAACACTTGAATTCCAAGATGCATATGCAAAGAAAAAGGCCAAAAAAATAAAAAACTATTTAACACCGGTATGGAGTATTATTTCTCTTAACAACAATGAAATAATTTTTATTTTAGACAACTAAAAATATACATCTTATCATTTCCTTCTTTTATTTGGACGTGTTAATGTTATAAGAGTTAAATTAATTTAAATACTTAGTTTTTATAAATTCCTTTTTTTAAAATTTATTTTATTTAATATTGATATTTAATTATATTTAGATTTAATACTTTTTCTCCTGCATAGCGTGAATGAAATTGAATTTTTTAATGATTAGAGACTCATCATTATTGTGATTGTAGTCATTACGTCACAGTATGAAGAAAATATTGTTTATAGTTCTATAGACAAAAAAAAAATGGAAATGTAAATATAGGAAAAGGTTTTTACAGAAAATAACTTGCATGGGATTGTTTTGATTCCTTTTAAAAATTTTCGAAAAAGAGACGTTTGTTTAAGGGGTATAATCCATTATACTAATAATCAAATCAATAGCTTTTCATTGTCACTTTGGTTAAATTAAATCACTTCCTCAATCCCTAAATATCCTACTAACAATGGTTTTTATATTTGTAATAATTGCAAGGGAGATTGCGGTGGTGATCATCACTTGCAGTGGCGGACTTCAATCTCTGTAGAAGAAGAAAAGGCGTGAAAAGAAAAAAAAAAGATACTTAAAAAAATAAAAATAAGAATTCTCTTATTATTTCCTTTAATGAAAAGAAATTAAAGAAAAAAAATAATTATTTATAAATTTCACAGATTTATAAATAAAAATTACCATTAAATGATGAAGCGATGTGGTTGTGATATCTGAACTTTGGCTATCTATTTTTTCGCCACGTGGATTAACCTATCTAATTTTACGCTATGTGTCCGATTGAAAACTCTCCTTTATATATATATATATATATATATATATATATATATATATATTCTTATAATTTGCTTGGTTTTTTGTAGAAGGAAAAGTTCAACCTTTTTTTTTCTGACAAATAAACTTGCAGCAAAGGCCAAGTGGTTGCTTAGTAGAATTCAGAAGTAAACTACATGCTTGTACTCCATTGTGATTCCATGAGATCTTTAATGTTTAAATCAAGAAGCAACTTTCCCCAAGTTATCGGATTACTCAGTGTTTATGGTTTCCTCTTTGTCTGCAGATTCCGTAAGGTTGCTTATGGTCAGAATGCAGCATCCAATGCTATACGAAGGAACCTGGAAAGTGGACTAATTACCACGCTAGAGATTTCACTGTTGTTGGTCCGAGCACTTTGGCAAAGGTCAAGTTTTCGAATATGATCACATCTCCAATTGATCTATTTTCGCAAAATGCAAGTTTTTCCCCAACTTGTAAGAGTATCTTGCAATCCTCTACTGCTAGTACCCTAATGTACCTAAAGTCTGAATCATGCGAATCAACATCATAACGATCAACCCGGGCCCAAAAGCTCTTATCTCCATCATCCTTTCTCTCCCATATATGACCTATGAATTGACAACAATACTCAATAAAAGAGATACATGCAACACTACCATTTAAGGCAAACAAATAGTGATATAAATACACATCCTTGAATAACGGAGCTGGTACGCTGCATATCTTCTGAAATTCTTCACTTCCAAGATCAAATGCCACAATGTAGTGATGATCGTCATCAGAGTCATCACTATCATACTCATCGCACTCATTAAATTTGTTGTATTTCACAACAAAGTATAACGCACCGTTAACAAAAGTACAACTATGAGGATTTGGCATCTCATAAGGCAAGGCATCTTTTATTCTCCTCCACGAATCGTGTTTCAAACTATAAACACAGAATTCATATCCATCAAAACTTGATGAATTTGCCAACTTATACCATTTCACCACTTTGTAGTCATCGTTTTTTAAGCCGCTTCCCAATGCAGCACCAACGGAGTAGCTTCCACCCTTTTTACAATCAAAGGGTAAACGAGGCAACATGGAGAACTTATTAATCCATGGATTCCACAAAAGAAAACGATCTACTGATTTATTCCACAAACTAAGGATCTCATTCGAAGATCCCACAATTTGAACTTGACCCGCAAAAAAAGCCGGTGAGGGGTTCTCGATTTTTTTGGGATTGATGGCCTTGTACCGGCGGCTGCGACCATCCAGTTCATGAACCTATTCAAAGGCATAAAACTTACCTCCCCCTGGAGAAGTTATAACATGTTTCCTGTCGAGGGGGGAGCTCTTGAGGTACAACTTGGTGGAACATGGACTGTCAATCAAATCGCCCCATGATTTTGATACACCTCTACATCGAAACAGAGCCTCAAATGGAAGTCTCACCAGAACAAGAGCAACCACATCGTGTGGAATAAAGCGGTCCGACATTACACTATAAGAAACAAATATACCCAAAAATTAGACAAAAAGAATGCCTTTCAGATTGAAAAATTGTAGGACAAAAACAAAAATTATTTAACCGGCCACCAAAAAAAATCAGAGCACTTAAACTTAACAAACTTCGTAATTGGATCAGACGGTATGTCAAAGTAATACCACGCAACAACAAATACAAAACCGAATCCCAAATTGAAATCTATCCAAAAACTACAGGATATTGAAAGAGGTTAAACAGAGAAGAATCAAATCAAAAGGCTGCTATCAATCGAATCCCAGAAGACAACAGATTGATAGCATCACACTACCGTATGAAAAATTAATGGTACAGAAACTGAGACCAGCCAGTAGCGTACATTCTCAACTCCATCACAATTCTGCTCACTTATGGAGGCGATTTTTACATAAATTTAAAAGAAACGAACTTCAATAACTGCTATCTCCATTATTCCTGGTAAATAAAAACCTCCATGGCAGCCAATGTGTTTGATTTAACTAGACACAAGCTTGAACGGAAACTGCTGACTGATCCACACGCAATCGGCTCAGTCACTCAAGCTTTTGCGAGTAGTTTCTTGATATCCTTCTGCAATGTGAGAATAAATCCTTGTAACACAGGCTACATGAACAGAAACAAATGCATTGAGGACGCGCGGACAGTTTTTACCTCTATGCTCAAAGGAGATGTGGTTGGAGCGTAACGGTCAACAACATGGCCATCTTTATCAACAAGGAACTCGGAGAAGTTCCACTCTACCGTCTCCAAAGAGTCATCCTTTGCTTGACTTCAGGAACTTATATATGGGAGCAGCAGTTGGACCATTTACATCCACCTAAATTTTCAGCAGAAAGAAGGAAATCAACTCAAGTCAACTCAATTGGACAATAAATGCAATCAAGTCATATATTTCACTTGCCAACCAAAATGGTCAAGCATGCTGCTTATGTCTCGGACTACTGATGGAGATAAACAGCACATGATGATTTTTTAGCTTTATCGAGCTCTCAGTCAAAGTGATGGGAGATGGGAAGATGGTGATAGGGGAATGACACGATTGCGGCAACATAAATGTTGTGCAAAAAAGTGACAAGGACATGTAGAAAGTCCAACCTTGTCAAATATGGGATATTCAGCCTTAAAGCGAGTGCAAGCAAACTGTTGAATTTCCTCATTACTTCCAGGCTCTTGTGAACCAAACTGGTTGCTTGGAAAAGCAAGAATCTCAAGTCCTGTATGAGGGAAGAAATGCAATTGTTATTCACATTGGATAACCAAACAGAGAAAAAGTTAAAGTTGATGTCCAATATGGTTGCTGTACAAAGCTGAGAGAATCCACTGGAATCATACCTTGATCTTTGTACTGTTCATACAGCTTTGTCAACTCTGTATAATTTGAATTGGTCGGACCACTGCAGCAGGGACAAATGCAACAATTATGAGTAATGAAATTGGCCAACATTAAAGTAAACGAAGTAGAGAAACAAATCAACACAAAACAGTTGACAATCAAAGGCCAGGCAGATAAACAGAACCAGCGCCCTTAAAGGCAGGGCTGATTTTGAATAATGGATTCTCGATCCTATACTCTGAATAAACAAAATCCCAAAGCACCCTAGAGTCATAATAAAGACAAAGTACAAACACCAAAATTTAGGGAGGACATCAATCTCATTGAAAGCCTGCTTGGGTTTGGACTTGACACTAATCTAAACAAGATCTAAGATTCCCAATTAAATATGGTAAAGCAACCATGACATGCAATTCAACTGAATAATCCTATTTATCACAAACAAAGTATACCCAAGTACAGAGACGGAAATTCACATCGCACTCAAAATTCACAACTTGTAAATACTCAAATGTAAACTTGACAAAACGCAGCTGCTTTCAGAAATTTCAAAAGGAAGTGTCTTGTGTAGGACAACCCTAAATTAATTCGCTATAGTTAACTATGGTAGAACACAGAATGATGAACCAATAACCCAATACTCGAGGCCGAAATCAGAGTACTTTCTCATCATATTGCAGCACTTCCAAAGTAAAGATATTTCAATGCCAAAAGTCAGGGATCAAAAGAACCGTTCCCTTATATTTGTTGAGATCACCATCATTTCCTTCTGCGTCCTGCAATTACCAAATCATTAATAAAATGATCAGGAAACATACTACTTAAAAGTCAAAAAACATGTAAATTGCGAGTAAAAATAACAAGAGTTGGAAGAGACTTATAAGGAACAAAAGAACTCTAGGAAATAACCCCACAACAAATGATGAGCCTATAAAAGACAATCCAACTTAACCACAAGCAATAAGACATCATGAACAATCTGCAGATTCTGAGAGTCAAACTTAATTTGGCTCTCCACTAGTAAAATGTTTGATTAACAATTGAAGTTAGCAAAATGAATGTAGTACCCAACCTAACAGTTGACTAATGAAACAACCAAAAGAATATTAAACCTTGTAATAACTGAGTCAAAACATCAAATTAGAAACGCAAAGTACAGCAATGTTCCCCTAAACCAAATTCCGAGATCATGATTCATGAATATACCAGATAAGCACAAAAAATGAAATGAAAAACGATTAATCAAGGTGTAAATCAACAAATAAAACTCGAACAATACTAATCAAATACAAGTTGAAAAAATAAAAATAAAAAAATCTTAGAACTGAAAGTCAAACCTTGACAACGAAGTCATGGACTGATTGAGGAGCATTGGACTGGGTTGCCATTGTATGATCAAGTATAGAAACCCAAAGAACAGCTGATCCTTTGGAGGAGGGAGTATAATTTACAGACCCGGACTTCAAAAACCCGCGGTTGATTGTCCGAGAAAACGATGATACTGAAGAACTATGGATGTCATTCAAATGGGTTCTGGTCAAAATTGAAGAAAGTTGCTTTGGCAATCCAAGATTCTTCCGAAAGACAAAGCGAGTTGAAGAAGAAAACATGAGGAATAGGAAAGGGGGCCAACCTCAGATTTATATATAGCTTCTTGTCAAAGTAGTTTTTTTTCTATTTTTCTGAAGATGAAAAGATCAAATTTTTTATTCCAGAATTTATAATTTGTGGATACAGAGATGACGATGTTTGGCTTATTTTAGCCGCTATTTTACAGGTGGCGAATATGCAACAACAATGTCCCATGCAATATCAACCAAATCCAGTATTGCTTTGGGCATTAAAGCTCTGTTCTTCTTTGAGCTTCATCTCTGTTTGAATCATTAAAGCTCCTCTGAAATTTAACAATTTAGATTATCAGTTAGAACCCAGAATAAGGAAATTCATGAGTTATAGGTCCTGCAATCGGTCTCAACCGAATCAGCCAATTTCGGGAAGCCAGGTCTGGGTTTCTGGTAAGGGGAATTTGGATAAATATGTTGGCTATGTGGAGAAGCTTCTCCAGTACAGGGGAAGAAAGGAGATTGAATTCAAAGGCAGCGGGTTTGGCAATATCCAAGGCAATCACTGCTGTGGAAATCTTTAAGATGAAGATACCGGGATTACGGCAACACTCCACTACATCTCTATTGCAGACGAATTTGAAAGTGCCAACTCTTTCCATTATCCTCTCCATATCAACCAATGAAGGCGGTGATTCAATGCAACCATCAGTGGAGCTATCAACACAGATGAATCAAGGGGATAAAGGCATGGTAGGAAAGAAACAGTACGTTTTATAAAAATGGAGGAAATAGAAAAACAATGGAACAAGCACCTCATGAAGACAAGCGACCTGCTACTACGGTGTCGGTTATATGGTCTCCATTTCTTGGAGAAGCTGCCATTTTTGAGGATGATAATGGGCCTTACAGCAAAAGCCATACATGTCCATCATTCAACAATGCCGAAAAGACAGTACATTACAGTTACCTTTACATTAGTGAAGATTTTGGTAGTCTGGGGCTATGCATTATATGATGTGCAACCAAAATTGGCCTTTATGGTTTGACTTTTAATGAGAATTTGACATTTGGAAATAGGAAAACTAAATAAATATTAAATTGACTCGTAGACATCTTTAATATTTATTTATTTATATGATATGATGTGCAACCTAAACTGGCCTGATCGGTAAAACAATAAAAAGAGATTCATCAAGTATTCAAAACGGCCCAAAAGGCATGTTGCACTATCGCCATTTTCTCTGTTTTTTCCTTCTCAAGCAGTCTTTCAATTCCGCATTATTTCCTCTTGACAACCCTATTTTTTGCATCTTCAGCCTACAAATTATTCTTCCTTCTATACTCTCGACATGGAACACAATGCTTGCAAAGTATGTTTCAGGACACACACCAGAGAATTGTAAGGCGTCAACTCGTCAGGTCGAAAAAGGAAAAAGGATTAGAGCGAAGAACGCCAAGAAAAAGAATCAAAAACCGGACGAGGGAGTTGCAAACCTTTTCTTGGGGAGAGTTACCCACAATGAATCAATAACCCCCCCAGGCATCCGAGAAAAAGAAGGTGCCAAAACCCTCCAAGGAGAAGACATCCCCAGAGCAACCGCCGGCGCCGGGCGAGGCTCGTAAAGTGGGAAAAGGATGGGACTACACAGGTATGTTCCTCTCTAGATCTGGGTTTTCTGAAAAACCTAATCTTTCTAATTGAATTGACAGTTAGAAAATTAGGGTTTTCAGAAAAAGATATAAAGATTAGTTTTGGTTATGGTGGGGTTTGAATTGATGATTAGAAGCCATTACTTTTGTTTTTTTAACTGAAAATTTCCCCCTTTTGCAGACTGTGGTAAAGTTCTTTGTTATAAGGAGTCGTCACAGCCCAATGTTATCACTGTTTACGACAGGAACTTGGATGAAGAGATGCGCAGGATAACATCTTTATTGGAGTCTTTCCCCCTTCGACTGCGAGTTTCCTAGTATGGAGTATGAAGATATGAAAGCTCTGAAGCCAACCGAGGATGTGATGAGGGAGTTGGCAAAGCGTGATCAGGGCAAAGGTGGCAAGAGGATCAGTTCGTACTGGTCTCTAAAGGTTAAATTTGAAGCTACACATCTAATTCAGTTGGGAATAACCCTCAGCAATCAGGAGGGCCAATTGCCAAGGGTAACCGGTCAGTTTACCCTTTGGCAATTCAATTTCTCTGATTTTCACCCTGAGGATGCCTCTTGCTTAAGATCAGAATATTCAATTGAAGAGCTGAAAAAATGCGGAATGGATTTCAAGAGAAATGTGAGGGAGGGGATCGAACTTTCATGTTTTTCGAAGATTTTCCGCAGCCTACCTATATGGGGAAATCCGAACCATCTATGGGTGACTTTTCATGGGGAAAACGATTACGGTTATTTGTTGACGCTACTGGTGGAGGGTAATCTTCCTGACACCCCAGGGGAGTTTGTAGATTTGGTGAACAAATATTGCCCAAACAATATAGATGTCAGGTATGCGATGAAACGGTCACTCATTGCCTATGATAGGTCATTAGAGCGTTCAGTTCGTCGCTTTGGTATCCCCGGATCAGAAACTAAGATCCACCAGGGTCGATACGATAGTTTGATCACCATGAGTTTGTAGGTATGCGATGAAACGGTCACTCATTGCCTATAATAGGTCATTAGAGCGTTCAGTGCGGCACTTTGGTATCCTCGAATCAGAAGTTAAGATCCACCAGGGTAGATAGGATAGTCTGATCACCATGGGTTTGTATTTGATACTAAAGAAACATGTTTTTCCTTCCAGACCTAAGTACTTATGAAGGGCGCCTGACCTCATTCATAGAGATCCAATAGCCTCCCATTGCTTTTCGTGTTAAAGGTTTGATGATTCCATTCTGTTTTAGCATTTATCTTGCAGTTTTGCTTTGATATGGTTCTGTAGATCTTATATTTTTTCACATTCCAAGCAAGAGTTGATACTGCCATAGATATAGTTATGCAAAGAAGGCATTCTTCTCTTTGTAAAACCATGAACTCTGTGTATCTAGTAATGCCTTGCTCCGTTTGTCACTGTTATGTATGTTTATTCATTGCAGGCTTTATCTCTCTGAATGCGAATGTCACTCGTGGTGATAAAATTGGTGTCCAGGAGTTAAATGTTGAAGCAAGGGGCTTCAGCAAGCCAGCTGATGTAGGAAAGGGTCGCCTCTTCCGTCCAGATTTGTAAGGTTGCTCCATCTTCAAAGCCAGGAGCAATTTTGTTGTTGTAGCCTGTGTAAACTCTACTACTGTGCAGACTGTTAGGATTACATTAGCAGGGCAGGAGTTCCTCATCAATGGCTCGATGATCTCCGCTCAAATTCAACTAGATGGATTAACAGAACTCATTCTTTGTAAAGAATACTTACTAGATGCTGGAAAGCACACAATACAGTTTTAGGACAAAATATTTCTTAGCAGAAGTAATTGATTCTAAGGATTTTCTGTAAAAGAGCATTACCATATTAGACATAGATACTTGTTTGTTTGTTGAGCTGAAAGGGAGCAAGCATCAACAGAAATGACTGGTCCGGATTCTGTCGACTCTCCTTTCTTCATAGAGTTTTTCCCTGGATGGTCTGTCATTCTTAGTTCGGATACAATTTGTGCGTAATGTTCGTAGAGTTTTTTTTGTGTCCCAATGTGATCATTTGATTCGCAGCTTTAGTTTCTGTCACCTGCAAATCATCGTCTCTGAAGCCTAGTTTTGTTCGTGACATTCTTCTATCTTTACCTTGTAATATGAGATCGGGTGAAAGAATATCACTGACTTATTTCTAATTAGTGCTACAAAAAAGTGTTACAAAAACGTACTACTATATTCGATATCTCAAATCATAACAGTGGTACAAGGTACAAACTAGCAGAATCCATTGTAATTCTGTATTCTCCAATGATGGTTATTCTGTACTCTTATCAATAAGACCTGTGAGAAATGAATGGTTCCTTTTGGACTAAATGACTGGTGACAAATCAGTAACTAAAATCGGAGCCAATATGGAATAACATCATTGATTTTTCAAATCTGAGCGAACTTAAAAAAGAATGTCACACAAAATAAATTCTTGGGCAGAATTGAGTGTAGTGACAATTAGTAATTTTTTCTGTCGGGCAGATTAGACGTGGCAAAAGCCCACAAAAAGTCGTGCTTTTTTCCACTCCCGGGCTTCAACTTCACAAACCCAAAGCACTATCATGACTATTGAGACTACACGAAAAATGCATCTCTCCTACGTCTGTTTCAGTCTCTTCTTTTCTCTAAATTTTCTCTAAGACATTTCACCATTTATGGTAATCTCCTTCCATTGATCATCGCAAGGACGACGCTTTCTCTTCATTTCAGCGAAAGGGTTGGTTTTTCTTCTCTCAATTTTGGGTTTCTGCTTTTCTCTATTTTTATTGGCGTTTTTTTTTGTTGGGTTTTGTTTGATCATTCTTTTACCGGAAAAAAGGTTAAATTCTAGCTCCTTAGGGTTTTTTCATTTTTATCTTGGGTCCTTTTTTGTTTTTCATTTGCAGTGTTACAGTGTCACTGCAGGAATCTTATTAGTTCGTGATTAGTTTCGGGAGAAGGAATGAAAAGTTAGGTTCTTTATTGTCATTTGTCACAAAGACAAAACAAAAATTGTATGAAAAAGGTTCATCATTGTTTATCAGAATGAGTAGTTGAAAGATATTTTACATTTTTAAAGGTTGTTTGTTTAGTCCTGACGGGCAAAATTTCCCTTTTCTTTTCGTTTTCTTCGTTATTCATTGAAATGCATAATTTATTCCATAGGTGAAGAAAAAACCGGATGAGTTCATCAGAGGCAGAGTCTGTGATTATTCCTGAAATAACTGAGGGTTCATCTATTCATGAGCTCATATCTGTGCTTCGTAGCTCTTTCCAAGAGAAAGAGTATGATGAGGTAGAGAGGTTGCTTATTCTTCGGGAGACAAAGTTGCAAGCTGAACGGGATAATCTGAGAAGGGATCTCCATACGATTAGAGAGAAATGCGGATTATTAGAGAAAGAATATGGCGTGTCGGAGCGCAACAGGCTCTCAATAGAACAGCGCTCAATGAGATATAAGCATGATCGGGATGAGTCCAGGGAGCAATTAATTAAGCTAAGAGGAGATGATAAACTTTTGAAAATTAAGTTGGATAAAGCAGAACGGTTGTTCAAAATGGTGTCTGAGGAGTTGAAGAAAGTGGAAAGTGAGAAGAAGAGTGAAGTGGATAAACTTACTGTGGAGTTGAAGAAAGTGGAAAGTGAGAAGAAAAGTGAAGTGGATAAACTGGTTGAGGAGTTGAAGAAATTGGAAAGTGAGAAGAAAATTGAAGTGGATAAACTGGCTCAGGAGCTAAAGAAGAAAAACAATGAGATTGAGAAGTTGAAGGAGGAGAATAATATTCTCTTTGAATTTTTGAAGAGAGAAGGGAAAAGAATGTTCAAATTAGAGGTTGAGGTTTTAAAGATTTGTGGTGATGAGGCCTCGCTGTCAAAGGGGCGTGTTTGTTATGACGAGGTGGATGTTGTGGTTGAAAGGATTCGCCGAATGAGTCGGTTATCTGATGCCAGTAAGGATTTGCAAGATGGAGCTCATAGCAGCCTGCTCGGAAGTGAGAACACTGACTCTGGCATTAAAAAGCAGCAGAATGGATCAGATAAAAGTCATCCGAAAAAGATGGTTGAAAATTTGTGTGATGGCTGTCCAGATGATAGTGAGGATTTGCGAGATGGAGCTGACGGTAGCCTGCTCAGATGTAAGAACACTCACTCTGGCATTGAAAAACAGCCGGATGGATTGGATAAAAATCATCAGAAAATGATTGTTGATAATTTGTCTAATGGCTGTGCTGATGTTAGTGAGGATTTGCAAGATGGAGCTGACGGTCAGCTCGCAAGTGAGAACACTGACTCTGACATCAGAAAGCAGCAGGATGGATGCGATGAGAATTTTCAGAAAACGATTGTTGAGAATTTGGCTAATGGCTGCGCTGATGTTGGTGAGGATTTGCAAGATGGAGCTGACAGAGGCCTGCTCAGAAGTGAGAACACTAACTCTGGCTCTGAAAAGCAGCAGGATGGATCAGATGAAAATCTTCAGAAAACGACTGTTGCAAACTTGTCTAATGGCTGTGCTGATGTAGGAGTTTCGCCGAGGTCAGAATCTCATCACCTGGGTTCTCCTGTTGAAGGTATGGAATGCATAAAGCGTTTATTTGCAGTAAGCATTGATATTGTTCTGCCAAATGCATATATTTTACTTTTGATTTAAGAGTTGTAATTGATATTGTTATGAAGGAGATACATCCCTTTCTGTGTAAATTTTGTCCTCTCTAATATACTTCCTTCTGAATTGTTTTTAACTTGTGTATTCTTTATTGCAGTCTTTCCCTCTCCTAACATCACTTGTGATAGTGATGAAAGTTGGGACCCAGAGTTGAATGTTGAAACTAGGATTCCCAGTGAGTCAGTTGCTCCAGTCACTGAAATAACTAATAAACTTCTGTCTCCCGTCGTCGTTATCAGCAGTGATAGTGAGGATGAAAATCTTCCAGCTCGAAAAAGAAGGAAGATTGATTTTGTTGGTGTGGATAACTTCAAGGGAGCCAGTTCGAATTATAATGGAGTGCATGATGATAATGATGGCTCAAGTGGAAGTGATCTGGATGTTACTTGTTTCGAGTCTTACTTGGAAGAAACGTTTTTGAAATTTAGAAGATACAAGGAGAAGGCTTGGAAATCTGCTGCGGACATGCGTTCCGCTTTTGAGAAGGATTATGAACCTTGCATGAATGCCGTCTGTGCGCTTTACCGAAACAAAGTTCCTGCTGGAACTCGTTTCCATTTTGATGCAATGAGGTATTAATTTGATTTAAACGCTTGCATAGGATTCATCCTGTTTAAGGACTGTATATTCCTTTGGCTAAGGTTCTGAATTTGTTTGATTTCATTTCCTTGACGTGGGATGTGAATTATTGATTGTTTTTCAGTGGGAAGGCTTTAGCAGAGTATCTAATTGATGGGGATCCGGAGCAGAAGCTAAAGAAAACTATCTTGGAAGTAGAGCAAGAAGATCCAAAACTTCTTTCGCAATGTAGGGATCTGGCCATTCGGCACTGTGACACACTCTTTTACATGTACAGTATGGGAAAAGATCGTCACTTTCGTCCAGACTTGTAAGCTCCATTTGTTAGACTCAAATCAGCATGGTTTCCACATGGATGGCACAACTACAGTTCTTTGCTCAAATTGATCTGGATGGGATTAACCAAACTCATACTTAGTTTTGTGCAGAGTGCTTGCTTGTTAAAATCCTGGTTTGATAGCTTTAGGTAATGTTTATGTTAGCAGTAGCAGTTGAAGCGTAGAATCTTTTGGGAATAGAAAATTCCATCTCCGATATGCGCATTTCTTTGGATTTTATGCTGAAATGGAGTATCTGTCGTAGTATATATACATATATATATATATATATGTATATATATATAAATGGTGTCCAGAAGTTGTTCTATTTTTCTAAGGAACCCACAATTTACCTGTTGGCCGTCCTTGGTATAGCTACCTTGACTGCAAAAGGTGATGTTTTCAAATGTTGTAGATTCTGTTTTCTTCAAGCTGTTACTTTTACTCCTATATTTTGCACTCTTAGTCTGCGGCCTATAACTTGATTATTAAACTCTGAAAAGTTTTGGTGGGCAGCTGTTTGGTAATTTGGAACCGGCTATATGTGAGAGTAAAATGTTTGCAGCCTAATGTTGGTGAGGTCTTAACTTCTTGGATGATCATTATTGATACTGTTTGTCACGTCACTACACTAGTATAATTGTTCTTAGTGAATGTCTCCATTCTCAAACATGTTAGGACATGTTACATTGTGGGTTGTCATCGGTCTGAAATCTTCAATCCTCGAAGAAATATGGCACATAGCCTTAGTGTCGACTGTGAGATTTGAACGCTTGAGGTCAGGGTTTGTTGGCAGTTGCGTGTACTACCCTTGTAGAGTTGTAGATAACTAGATGGTGATCATTAGCGACTAAGAGCTTGGGAAGTTGGGATAGAGAGTTCTTATTCTTCTTCTTCCACTTCCTCTTCCTCCTCTTTTCATTTTTTGAATTCGGGGCTACTCTTCCACCTTAAAATAGTTTTGGCATTCGGGATGAGCAGCTGTGTTACAGTGTGTTAGGAAGCCTTGCTTATCTTTGACTAACATTTTGGACGTTTAATATGCATGGTTTCAGCCAGCATTAGCATTTCTTTGGTTTTGTCACTTTGATAGAATGATTTGTCACTTATATGATGTGATTGTAATCTTTTGGGTTGGAATTGGAACCTTACGTTAATACGAAAACGATCCGTAAGACTCTCTCTCTAGACTCTCTCTAAGCACTTTTCTCGCAAATTCAACTTTAACAATTTAGCTTTATGGAGGGTATCCCTGTTGAGGGGAACCCCAACAAGGACGGCAACCGACCAAAATTCAGAGATAAGGATTCTGAAATGGACATGGATGTGCAGATGGGTTCCTCTACAGATACTGTGAATGCTAAGGAGTCCTCGGTAAACAATGGGGAACATCGGTCGGAATGTGCGATTTCAGCGCCACCCATGTCTTATCGGGAAAGGCTCATGGGTAAGGTTAGAAAATGAACCTCATGTCCAGTGGAAGTGTTACCTGGAGATGTAGTGATGTCAAGGGAACAGAGGAGAATCTCCTTTTCTGATAAACTCAAGGGTGCATTCAACAAGGACTGGGAGCACATGGTGGTGGTGAAGTGGATGGGGCGTAAAACAACCTTAGAGGGAATTAAGAAAAAAATTAAGGACCTATGGCAACCAACACAAGAGTACACAATATTGGATTTCAAACAAGATTTCTATGGAGTCTTGCTGTCGAATACGGAAGATGAGGAAAAGGCACTGTTGGGAGGTCCGTGGTACATTGGAGGCTCTTGCTTAGCGGTTCAGAAATGGACACCGGGATTTAGGCCCTCTAAGGCGAAGATCTCAAGTATTGCTGCTTGGATTAGGCTCTCGGACTTACCAGTGCAGTACTATCATAAGGTGGCTCTGGATTACATCGGAAACTTTGTAGGGAGAACTATACAAATCGACCCAAATACCCTCAATGCGGAAAGGGGTCAGTTTGCTAGAATTGCAGTGGAGTTAGACACAGAATTGCCATTGATGTCCAGTATTCAAATTGATGGGGAGTGGCATGCGATTGAATATGAAGGTCTCCCCATGATTTGCTATAACTGTGGGAAAATTGGGCATACTAATGTGGTGTACCCAGATAAACCAGAGGGACAAACGGCAGATAGCAACATACAAACAGAAGCCCCAAAACAAATGGAGGACCAACAAACTTTTAGATCTGAGAATCAAGGAGGAGGGTTAGGATATGGGCCATGGATGGAGGTTCAGAGAAAGCATAGGCGGCCAACGGGAACATCAGCTCCGATGAACTACCAACGGCAACCGCAGGAAACCCAGATGCCCGTTGGAGGAACGAAATTCGATGCCCTCAGAACGGTCACTGAGGATGCCTTTGACAGAGGAGAGGAAAGGATGACCTACCCTATAGGTCCAAGGGATACGGTTTCGACCCAACGTCTACCCAACACTCATAATGGTACGAAGACTAGAAGCCAACAGTGGGTTCCTAAGCCCGTTGAGCCTATGATTGTGCAGGAGTCAAGGGGTCCCACTAGTATGGTGTCCAATCCAACTCTCCCGATTACAAATAAGGGTAAAGCCCAACAGGATAAAACAAGGTTCAACAAATGGACAAAGATAAGGTCCAACAAGGAACAATCCAATGTCAACTCATGGAGAAAGCACATGAATTTTCGTTTGGCCTAACCTCTCCCAAAACCAACATGACCATTCAAAGTAAGATCTCTGGGAGTAAACCCACAAGAAGAAGTACCCCTAGAGTCAATCATTCGACGTTCTTGAGCCTGTCAGAACCCTTTAACCCGATCAATGATGGTAACTCAGAATCTCTAAAGTTGCCTGATGTGGGAAAGAAAAGGAGCAGGTTGGTGTTTAATCCTAAGGAAGATCCACCCAATACATCCTCTCCTTGTCCTCAGCCTGAACAGCTCAATCATGCATCTTCCTCTGGCAACCCGGATGAACCACCCGATGAGGAGATGCGAGAGCAGATTGATGGAGCCCTCCCTTCGGAGGGCTAGGTAACTTCTCTGTTTTTTTTTTTCCCAATTATTATTTATTTATTAAGTATGTCAATTGTCTCTTGGAATGTTATAGGCGCAGGTGCTGCCAATTTTAAACCATCTGTGAAGAATTTGTTGAAATTGCATAAACCGGACATATTGTTAATTCTGGAACCTCGCATTAGTGGGGACAAAGCAGAGAAGACAATTAGAGGGTTAGGATTTCAAACAGTTTTAGAGAGGAAGCAAATGGTTTCTCTGGAGGTATTTGGGTATTGTGGTCAGAAGTTAATATTAAAGTGAGAGTTTTGGGTTCCTCTTCGCAGTGGGTACATTTTCTCTGGGAGTATCATGAGCATAGGGGTCTTTGTACTGCTGTGTACGGTTCACCTGCTCCCCAAAATAGGAGGATCCTTTGGGATGAATTAGTGGCAATAAAAGGGCAAGTGAATGAACCTTGGGTAGTGATGGGGGATTTTAATACCTATTTGTTTGCGTTGGAAAAATTTGGGGGTAGTCCAGCTTGTCAAACTAAATGTAGGGAGTTCCATCAGTTCTTATATGAGAGTGGGCTGCAAGATATGGGCTATGAGGGGTGCAAATACACATGGACAAATGGGAAAGTAAATGAAAGGCTGGATAGGGCTTTATGCAATCATGAATGGTGCATCAAATATCCTGATAGCTTTATACGACACCTAAGTAGAATAAAATTGGATCATCATCCTATCTTACTTCAGGTTCAGCGTGATGTCACACCAGATGTATCGGAGAGACCGTTTAGGTTTCAAGCTTGCTGGCTCACACATGATCAATTTAATGGCTTTATACAGAAAGCATGGAGAGCAGACGCAGGGTACAGAGAGGCAGAAACAATTTTGAAGAGGGAAATTCAATGGTGGAATAGGAAAGTCTTTGGAAATATATTTGCAAGGAAGAGAAGGCTGTTAAATAAACTTGAAATACTAGATAATGGGCTGGAGCTTTTCTAATCAGAGGGACTACATGAGGAGCGTAAAAGAACTCAATTGGAGCTTGAGGATACACTACTTCAGGAGGAAATCTTGTGGTTTCAAAAACCAAGAATCAGATGGCTTCAGTTTGGAGATAAGAATACAAAATACTTTCATAACAGCACACTGGTAAGGAGGGGGAGGAGCAAAATAATGTGACTACGTGATCAGAATGTGGATTGGATAGAGGATCAGAAAGAGCTAAAAAATATGGTAGTAGCATATTTTAAGGAGCTGTTTTCAGCGGAACCTGATATTGAAATACATCCCCCGTGGAATCATAGGTTTCCAATACTCTCCTCTGAGATAGCTGAGCTATTAAGCGGAAGCGTTAGAGATGATGAGGTGAAGAAGGCAGTGTTTGATATGGGTCCATATAAGGCGCCTGGTCTCGACGGATGGAGTCCTATCTTTTATCAATCACAGTGGAGTACTGTGGGCAAGACAGTGACTGAGTTTGTTAGGAGTTGTTTCCAGGAAGGGAAAATACCAAAGGAAATCAATGAGACACTACTAGTACTAATACCAAAGGTCGCAAAGTCAGAATCAATCGCACAATTTCGGTCTATTAGCCTCTGCAATGTGATATACAAAGTTATCACAAAACTGATAGCTAACAGGTTGAAACCAATAGTGGGCAAGATTGTAAGTCAAACCCAATCTAGTTTCATACCTGGGAGGAAAATTGCGGATAACACGATAATAATACAAGAGGTCATCCACTCTATGAGACAAAGGAAAGGAAAGAAAGGGTGGATGGCGATCAAGATAGATCTAGAAAAGGCATACGACAGACTAAATTGGAGTTTCGTAAGAGGAGCGTTGGAAGCAGCTGGTTTCCCTACCAAATTGGTCAGCCTGATTGGCGAATGCTTATCCACAAGCAGTATGAAAGTTTTGTGGAACGGAGGCACCTCAGTGGAATTTCGCCCGTCCAGAGGATTAAGATAGGGGGATTCTCTTTCACCTTACATCTTTGTAATTTGTTTAGAGATTTTAGCGCATGGTATTTTGAAGGAAATTGATAATAAAAATTGGAGAGGAATAAGTTTTAATAGGAACAATCCTGTTCTTTCCCATTTATTTTTTGCAGATGACTTATTTCTCTTCGCAGAAGCTTCGATGGATCAAGTTGTTGTTATTAACAAAGTTCTTATGGATTTCTGTAGGGCTTCGGGGCAAAAGGTCAATGCACAAAAGACAAAAATCTTCTTCTCAAAGAATACAAAAGCTCAACTGCGTACATCAATATGTCGTAAGTTTGGGTTCAGCTCTACAAGTAATTTAGGGAAATACCTTGGTTCACCTATTCTGCATGGTCGCGTGACAAAAAATACGTATAAGGACATTCTGGATAAAATAAGGTCCAAGCTGTCGGGGTGGAAAGCGAATCAGTTGTCGTTAGCTGGCAGGATTACTTTAGCGCAAGCATGCCTTCAGTCGATTCCAACATTTCAAATGCAAGCTGAAAAATTGCCCATGCATGTTTGTGATGAGATAGATAAGTTTATAAGGAATTTTGTTTGGGGTTCTACTGTGGACAAAAGGAAAATGCATTTGATAAATTGGGACACAGTTTGTGCTAGTAAGGAGCAAGGTGAACTCGGGTTGCGAAAAGCTAGAGAGTATAACACTGCATTTTTTATGAAAATGGGCTGGGAGTTGTTGGCAAGAAAAGAGGATTTATGGGCCAGGATTTTAAGAGCCAAGTATGGGGGGAGGCGATGGGAGCAGGAATTTAGCGTGGTTAGAAAACAGAATGCTTCTCCAACCTGGAAAGGAATTTGCGACTCATTTTATTTAGTGGAGAAGGGTTTAACATGGGTTATAGGGAACGGAAAGACGGTGAGGTTTTGGACGGATAGATGGGTGGAAGGCTTATCAATACTAGCTGAATACTCTAGAAATCCAATCCTTGCTGGAGAAAGAAACATAAAGGTTGCAGAAATGGTGCTACCAAATGGAGAATGGGATACAAGAAGAATGAGAACGAAATTGCCAAATGAAATTGTGCAAAAAATTTGCGTGATTCCGCCTCCAAGGGAGGTATTAGGTCCAGATCAACCAAGATGGATGTGGAACAAGTCTGGTAAGTTTTTTTTAAAATCTGCTTATTATTTAGCTATTGATAATGCAGATGTGCAGGTGGACAAGTACTGGAAGGACATGTGGGCATGGAAGGGACCTCAAAGAATCAAAACATTTTTATGCCTAGCTTCTCATGGTCATTTGGCAACAAACGAGCTGTGCCACCATAGAGGCATACGCACTAATGGAAATTGTGCTAATTGCAATGGAGAAGCGGAATCAACAATCCATGTTGTTCGGGACTGTACAAGGGCAAGAGAAATTTGGGACCAAATTGTTCCTGCTCAACAACGCCAGCTCTTTTTCCAGCAATCTTTAAGAGAATAGATGAAACACAATCTAACAACAAGGAATGAAAGATGGAGGACCGTCTTTGGGGTGGTTTGTTGGTCTTTATGGTCTTGGAGGAATGATAGAGTATTTACCAACAACGACATTGATACACAAGCAACAATCCGATTAATTGGTCAGAGGGTGGAGGAGATTGAGCATAGCAGAGGAACCCTCAGTGTAAGTAATGGAAGATTATGCGGGAGTAAAGCCAAAGGCTGGCAGCCACCACCAGCAGGTTGGGTAAAACTTAATTGTGATGGAGCTGTCTGTTTGGGGAATAACAAGGGAGCAGCTGGAGGTTTGTTAAGGGACCATGGGGGGGCTTATCTAGGGGCGTTCCATGCACACCTGGGAGTTTGTTCGGTTGAAACAGCTGAATTAACAGCTGTAGTTGAGGGGCTTGAGTTAGCCAGGAAGAAGGACTACTTAAGAATTATTGTTGAGACAGATTCCACAGAGGCCCTCAAGCTGAGGGTGCAAAGGGATTTGTTAATCTGGATCCTCAATTACGAAGAATCCAGCTACTTTTGAACTCTGGAATGGATGTACAGTTTGTTTCAACATCCAGAGATTGCAATCTCTGCGCAGATATGTTGGCAAAGAGAGCTCTTAGTTTAGATTGGGGCATATATTTTTTTGACGTAGCCCCAACTTTTGTATGTGTGCTACTAGAGAATGTTGTATCTAGTCTAGTATGTAATGACTGAAGCTGAGACTTTAGTGTTTTGTTGACAACCAAAAAAAAAATAAAATTGTAACCTCATGTATGAACTATGGACTTTTTTTATTTTTCAAACAAAAACTTGACCAACAAAGGTCTCAAGTTCAAACATGTCATCAACTAATTTTTCTTCTTCTCTGTCTAGTGTCAAGTTAGATACCATAAAAATATTTATGGTGAAAGACTGAAAGTGTTAGATCGAAATCTTACCGCCCAGTTTTTTGCAAAAAAAAATAAAAAATGGTTCAGATTATATTTTGAAATTCATTAAAAACAATACAAATTTTAAAACTCAATATGTATAATTTTTTTTTTTTTGGGAATGAAGGCACTACTTGGAGTAGATAATATTCAACCTTTTTTTTTTGTCCCAGTACACAAGAATGAAAACTCACTCTAAATACTCGTTTTTTTTAAAAAAAAAAAATAAATAAATAAATTATCCCCAAAATTAACTGTTAGAGTGAGACAGAAACAACATAACACAGACGCAGTTTCCAAATTTTTTGACCTTAGATTGGAAATTATAATTGACAAAATGATATTTAATATAGCATGGGGGAAAAGAACATAATTAATGAGAAGATCATTTGTCTTCATGGGTTGATCAAATGTGGTCTACGTAGTTAAGTGAGCGGACGACATGAGCTCAGACCACTCCTCCCTGCCTTCTGCTCTTGTTTGGTACCTTGGAGATAGATATCTCAGAGCATCACAACAGTAGATTCTAAACTCCTCTCAATAATTTACAAGTCCTTTTTTTTTTTTTCCTAGTCTCTATCTTCTTTTCTCCACTCCAATTTTTCTGAAAACGATTAAAAACCCATTAACACCAATCTTTCTTGCTGCTTTGTTTTGATTAC